TCTCCATGGGTCCTGAGAGAGGGAGCAGAGGCGCTATGTGTACCCCTAACAACAATATTCAATACATCTATTGAAACAGGGAGATTGCCTGAGGCATGGAAGACAGCAAATGTAGTCCCAGTCTTTAAAAAAGGAGACAGACATGAAGCACTAAACTACAGACCAGTGTCACTGACATGTATAGTATGCAAAGTCATGGAGAAGATTATCAGGAGAAGAGTGGTGGAACTCCTAGAAAGGAATGATCTCATCAACAGCAGCCAACACGGTTTCAGGGACAGGAAATCCTGTGTGACAAACCTACTGGAGTTCTATGACATGGTGACAGCAGTAAGACAAGAGAGAGAGGGGTGGGTGGATTGCATTTTCTTGGACTGAAAGAAGGCGTTTGACACAGTACCACACAAGAGTTTAGTGCAAAAACTGGAGGGCCAAGCAGGGATAACAGGGAAGGCACTACAATGGATCAGGGAATACTTGTCAGGAAGACAGCAGCGAGTAATGGTACGTGGCGAGGTGTCAGAGTGGGCACCTGTGACCAGCGGGGTCCCACAGGGGTCAGTCCAAGGACCAGTGCTGTTTCTGGTATTTGTGAACGATAAGACGGAAGGAATAAACGCCGAGGTGTCCCTGTTTGCAGATGACGTGAAGTTGATGAGAAGAATTCATTCGATCGAAGACCAGGCAGAGCTACAAAGGGATCTGGACAGGCTGCAAACCTGGTCCAGCAATTGGCTCCTGGAGTTCAATCCCACCAAGTGCAAAGCCATGAAGACTGGGGAAGGGCAAAGAAGACCGCAGACGGAGTACAGTCTAGGGGGCCAGAGACTACAAACCTCACTCAAGGAAAAAGATCTTGGGGTGAGTATAACACCAGGCACATCTCCTGAAGCGCTCATCAACCAAATAACTGCTGCAGCATATGGGCGCCTGGCAAACCTCAGAACAGCATTCCGACATCTTAATAAGGAATCGTTCAGGACCCTGTACACCGTGTACGTTAGGCCCATATTGGAGTATGCGGCACCAGTTTGGAACCCACACCTAGCCAAACACGTAAAGAAACTAGAGAAAGTGCAAAGGTCTGCAACAAGACTAGTCCCGGAGCTAAGAGGTATGTCCTACGAGGAGAGGTTAAGGGAAATCAACTTGACGACACTGGAGGACAGGAGAGATAGGGGAGACATGATAACAACATACAAAATACTGAGAGGAATTGACAAGGTGGACAAAGACAGGATGTTCCAGAGATGGGACAAAGCAACAAGGGAACACAGTTGGAAGTTGTAGACACAGATGAATCACAGGGATGTTAGGAAGTATTTCTTCAGCCACAGAGTAGTCAGGAAGTGAAATAGTTTGGGAAGCGATGTAGTAGAGACAGGATCCATACATAGCTTTAAGCAGAGGTATGATAAAGCTCATGGTTCAGGGAGAGTGACCTAGTAGCGACCAGTGAAAAGGCGGGGCCAGGAGCTTGGAATCGACCCCTGCAACCTCAACTAGGTGAGTAACACACACACACACACACACACACACACACACACACACACACACACACACACACACACACACACACACACACACACACACATCCCTGAGTGGTGATTCTTGATGGTGTTGTGGTTCAGTGCTCCTGAGTGACACATCCCTGAGTGGTGAACCTGATTTAGTGAGAAACAAGAGAGTGAGATAGGGGCAGCCGTCTCAGTATTGTTATTACATTCAGTGAGAAGGGAGCACTAAAATCGTAGGGGCCACACACCGCCTGGGCAATGAGAACCTCGCAGGTTTGATCTGATTCTACTGAACCCACTAGAGCTATTAATGTGGTTCTACGAACCCACCAGTTGTACTGAACTCGCTAGAGCTATTAAAGTGGTTCTACTGAACTCACCAGAGTTATTAACATGGTTCTACTGAATCCACCTTATCTATTAACGTGGTTCTACTGAACCCACCAGAGCTATTAACGTGGTTCTACTGAACCCACTAGAGTTATTATCGTGGTTCTACTGAATCCACCATAGGATGGGACTTACACAGATGACAACAAGGAAATGAGTGAAATATTGAAATCCCAGTACGACTCTGTGTTTAGTGAACCACTAATCAGTCTGAGGATCGACGACCCAAATGATTTCTTCATGAATGAGCCTCAAAACTCCATAAATGTATGCCAGATTTCCGACATTACCCTAACTCCGATAGATTTCGAAAAAGCCATTGATAACATGCCCATGCACTCAGCCCCGGGCCCAGACTCGTGGAACTCTGTTTTCATTAAGAACTGCAAGAAACCCCTCTCGCGTGCCCTAAGTACACTATGGAGGAGGAGCTTGGACATGGGTGAAATTCCACAGTCACTTAAAACAACGGATATAGCCCCACTCCATAAAGGTGGCAGCAAAGCATTAGCTAAGAACTATAGACCAATAGCTCTGACGTCCCACATCATAAAAATCTTTGAAAGGGTGCTAAGAAGCAGGATTGCAAATCACCTGGATTCCCCAAATCTGCACAATCTAGGGTAACATGGGTTCAGGGCAGGTCGCTCCTGCCTCTCACAACTACTGGATCACTATGCCTTGGATGCACTGGAAGAAAATCAGAATGCAGATGCAATATACACAGACTTTGCAAAAGTATTTGACAAATGCGATCATGGAGTAATAGCGCACAAAATACGTGCTAAAGGAATAACTGGGAAAGTGGGGAGATGGATCTTCAACTTCCTAACAAATCGAACACAAAGAGTAGTGGTCAACAGAGTTAAATCGGAGGCTGCCATAGTGAAGAGCTCTGTTCCACAAGGCACAGTACTCGCCCCCATCTTATTCCTTATCCTCATATCAGACATAGACAGAGATATACACCACAGCACCGTATCATCCTTTGCAGATGATACTAGGATCTGCATGAGGCTGTCATCTGCTGAGGACGCGGGTAACCTCCAAGAAGATATAAACAAAGTTTTCCAGTGGGCAACGGTAAACAATATGATGTTCAATGAGGACAAATTCCAACTACTCCGTTATGGAAAACTGGAGGAGATAATAACTAGAACAGAGTATACTACTGACTCCGGCCATACAATAGAGCGGAAAAATAATGTAAGGGACCTGGGAGTAGTAATGTCTGAGGATCTCACTTTCAAGGATCACACCAGTGCCACGATCACAAGTGCAAAGAAAATGATAGGATGGATAATGAGAACGTTCAAAACGAGAGATGCCAAGCCAATGATGATCCTTTTCAAATCACTTGTTCTCTCTCTAGGCTGGAATACTGCTGTACATTAACATTTCCATTCAAAGCGGTGAAATTGCAGATCTAGAGAGTGTACAGAGATCCTTTACTGCACGTATAAGTTCTGTCGAGCACCTTAACTACTGGGAACGCTTGGAAGCACTTGACTTGTACTCGTTGGAATGCAGGAGGGAGAGATATATCATAATCTACACTCGGAAAATCCTGGAAGGTATGGTCCCAAATCTGCACACAGAAATCACTCCCTACGAAAGTAAAAGACTGGGCAGGCGATGCAAAATGCCCCCAATTAAAAGTAGGGGCGCCATTGGTACACTAAGGGAAAACACCATAAATGTCCGGGGCCCAAGACTGTTCAACAGCCTCCCATCAAGCATTAGGGGAATTGCCAATAAACCCCTGGCTGCCTTCAAGAGAGAGCTGGACAGATACCTAAAGTCAGTGCCGGATCAGCCGGGTTGTGGCTCGTACGTTGGACTACGTGCGGCCAGCAGTAACAGCCTAGTTGATCAGGCCCTGATCCATCGGGAGGCCTGGTCATGGACCGGGCCGCGGGGGCGTTGATCCCCGAAATAACCTCCAGGTAACGAGGTACTATCTTTGTTCTACTGAACCTACCAGAGCTATTAACGTGGTTCTACTGAACCCACCAGTTACTATCATTGTTCTACTGAACCCACCAGAGCCATTAACGTGGTTCTACTGAACCCACCAGAGCTATTAACGTGGTTCTACTGAACCCACCAGAGCTATTAACGTGGTTCTACTGAACCCACCAGAGCTATTAACGTGGTTCTACTCAATCTTAAATATCATCATTTTATATTTAAACATTAACGATCAAGGACTCACTTGATTATAAATGTTTGATACACAGTCTTGTGAATCATAACAATGTTGGTACACAATACTGAGAAGTGGAAGTATGAGCAACACCTTGATATCTGTAACTGAAGACATTTTACCAATCAGTGGCTTTTTCAGTTCAGTATACAGTGATATAAGACGACAGTAGAAGATGAGGTAATCAGTCCCTCAGTCTTATAGTACTATACACAGAAGGCAGTAAATAAGGTAATCAGTCTCCCAGTCTCGCAGAACTGTACACAGAAGGCAGTACATAAGGTAATTAGTCCCTCAGCCTTGCAAAACTGTACACAGAAAGCAGTAGATAAGGTAATCAGTCCCCCAATCTTGCAGAACTCTACACAAAAGGCAGTAGATAAGGTAATTAGTCCCTCAGCCTTGCATAACTATACACAGAAGACAGTAGAATATAAAGTAATCAGTCCCTGAGCCTGGAAGCCGGTGTTCTGTGGCTTGTACAGTCCCCTGGCAGCTAGTTTTATCTTCAGACAGCTGCTGGTAACTTGACCCAACCATCTCTCGACAAGGAAACGATAAAATAGCTCCTCTTTCTGCCTCTAGCAGAGCAGATCTCAGGCATCTCAGAATCCTTCTAATAGGTGCTATTTTGTGACGCTTTGCTGGAGGTAAAAAACACTTTATCGATGGCATACACTTGACCGGCAGTATGGCGGACGCTCGCCCTCACACCACGTGCAAATTCCCTGTAGGACTCAATTATTTGCTCACCTAAATTGCCCATTCATTTTGATATTACTTCAGTAAACAGTACCCTACCCGGCATTTAAAACATTATTTTCTAGTCAGGACGTCCTTGCTCACCAATTATATGATTGTAGATAAATGGCTCAGAGAACCGACAAGTTGGTAAATTAAACACATGTTCAATACTTCGGTATCTTTATTGTGGTAAAGATCCATCAGTCCTGTACAAAGATCCATCAGTCCTGTACAAAGATCCATCAGTCATGTACAAAGATCCATCAGTCATGTACAAAGATCCATCAGTCCTGTACAAAGATCCATCAGTCCTGTACAAAGATCCATCAGTCATGTACAAAGATCCATCAGTCCTGTACAAAGATCCATCAGTCCTGTACAAAGATCCATCAGTCCTGTACAAAGATCCATCAGTCATGTACAAAGATCCATCAGTCCTGTACAAAGATCCATCAGTCATGTACAAAGATCCATCAGTCATGTACAAAGATCCATCAGTCATGTACAAAGATCCATCAGTCCTGTACAAAGAAGAATGGTGAAGATTAGAGGGAGTTTGAAGTAATCAGTCCCTCAGCCTCGAGGCTGAGGGACCCCTGAAATCACAAATACGTGAGTACACAAACACACACACACACACACACACACACACACACACACACACACACACACACACACACACTGAAAATCGAGAACTTTTGTGGGCTGAGGTGGCCAGGGAATGGTCAGACCAATTTTCTCGATACTTTTCGTGTAGTTAAATCTGACCTGTGGCAGTTGAGGATTCAGGGTCGTGCAGGGGTTGTCAAGGGACGAGAGGCGTGCAGGAGTTGTCAAGGGACGAGGGGAGGCATGCAGTGGTTGTCAAGGGACAAGGGGAGGCGTGCAGTGGTTGTCAAGGGATGAGGGAAGGCGTGCAGTGGTTGTCAAGGGACGAGGGAAGGCGTGCAGTGGTTGTCAAGGGACGAGGGGAGGCGTGCAGTGGTTGTCAAGGGACGAGGGAAGGCGTGCAGTGGTTGTCAAGGGACGAGGGAAGGCGTGCAGTGGTTGTCAAGGGACGAGGGAAAGCGTGCAGTGGTTGTCAAGGGACGAGGGAAGGCGTGCAGTGGTTGTCAAGGGACGAGGGAAGGCGTGCAGTGGTTGTCAAGGGACGAGGGAAGGCGTGCAGTGGTTGTCAAGGGACGAGGGAAGGCGTGCAGTGGTTGTCAAGGGACGAGGGGAGGCGTGCAGTGGTTGTCAAGGGACGAGGGGAGGCGTGCAGTGGTTGTCAAGGGACGAGGGGAGGCGTGCAGTGGTTGTCAAGGGACGAGGGGAGGCGTGCAGTGGTTGTCAAGGGACGAGGGAAGGCGTGCAGTGGTTGTCAAGGGACGAGGGAAGGCGTGCAGTGGTTGTCAAGGGACGAGGGAAGGCGTGCAGTGGTTGTCAAGGGACGAGGGAAGGCGCAGAAGACACCAACCTCTGTATATATTCCTACCAACTTATTTTGTCTTTGTACTGTTGTGATAAAGTCAATGGAGGGCGAAACGTCAACACAATAAAGATACCTAGATGCTGCACATGTGTCAAATTCATCACACTATCGGTACTAAATACCACTGATACAGAATGAGCTTCAAGATATCCCACGAATAAGTTACCGGGAGTTCGCTGGGAAAAGCAGGGGTGTCACTAGCACGTTAAGAGACCATACAATAAGTGTCAGGGGCCCGAGACTGTTCAACTGCCTCCCAGCACACATAAGGGGGATTACCAACAGACCCCTGGCAGTCTTCAAGCTGGCACTGGACAAGCACCTAAAGTCAGTTCCTGATAAGCCGGGCTGTGGCTCGTACGTTGGTTTGCGTGCAGCCAGCAGCAACAGCCTGGTTGATCAGGCTCTGATCCACCAGGAGGCCTGGTCACAGACCGGGCCGCGGGGGCGTTGACCCCCGGAACACTCTCCAGGTAAACTCTCCAGGTAATGGTAAACTCTGAAGTCCCGGGTCTGTGATGTGTCTCTAGTCAGGTTCCACCTGTTTGTAAATGATCACCTGACTGCCTCAGCTGTTATATTCTGAGCTAGTTTGCTCTTCTTAAACCACGAATTAAGGAAAGATCCTGGACTTCACTTTACGAAACAGATAAAGCAAATGCAATAGTAAATATGGACAAGGTAGATTATAGTGGAAAATTGAACATGTTATTAGAAGATGTGGGAATTTAGGTGCCTATTAAGAAGTGATGATCTAGACTTTTAGTAGATCCGTCCTCTAAATGGGGTACAAGACCTTGAATATTCTTATTTGTCGTCTGATTTCAATAATTTTTTTTTATAATCAGCTTTAAACAAAGTTTGTATAAAGCAAACTACATTGATCTAAAATATTAATGTACGTACCAGGACGTATTTAATTAGTTATTTTGAACTGGGGAGGTATCTAATTAGTTACTTTGAGCTGGGGAGGTGTCTAATTAGTTACTTTGAACTGGGGAGGTGTCTAATTAGTTACTTTGAACTGGGGAAGTATCTAATTAATTACTCTGAACTGGAGAGGTATCTAATTAGTTACTTTGAACTGAAGAGGTATGTAATTAGTTACTTTGACCTGGGGAGGTATCCAATTAGTTAATCTGAACTGGAGAGGTATCTAATTAGTTACTTTGGCCTGGGGAGGTATCTAATTAGTTACGTTGACCTGGGGAGGTATCTAATTAGTTACTTTGACCTGGGGAGGTATCCAATTAGTTACTCTGAACTGGAGAGGTATCTAATTAGTTACTTTGACCTGGGGAGGTATCCAATTAGTTACTCTGAACTGGAGAGGTATTTAATTAATTACTTTGACCTTGGGAGGTATCTAATTAGTTACTCTGAACTGGGAGGTAGAGCAAAAAAGTGTTTAAGAGAGCCGGGAATGGCAACAGGAAGACAAAAGTCAGCAGCATGATGATCGGGAGGCAAACCTGAATTATGAACACATATTTACCAGAAAGTTTGTGTTCTTATTTCTGACAGTTGTCTAACAGATCAGTGTTAAAAAAACAACTGTATATTCGACTATAAATTAATTATTAATGCAATAAATAACTGTATTCTCTTATGGAAGAAATCACAATAATCGCGTGATTACATATATATAAAAAACACAGCGAAAATAGGAAAAACACCTGAGCGCTTTCATGTGCTTACACACGTCTTCAGATATGTGTGATATCTAAATATCATTTGCCCACTTTAATTTACCCGGATAATGAAAGTATTGATTAGAGTAAAAGTAGTGAGAATGATCGATATTAATGTAAAGGGGAAGATAGCAACCTTGGTATACACAAACATAAATCTTTATATAGAAATCGCCTTGAATGGGAACAGGTGAAAAGGATCAGCAGGTGTCCCTGTGTTGTCATACAGGTCACGCCAGGTGCTATATTGACGTTTAAACAGCTGTCCTTGACACTCGGGAAGGCGAGACTTGACTGAGTAATTTCTAACTTTCAATGTAAGGGTCAACGAGTCGTACAGTGGAACACAATGGAGCTTTTATTCCCCTGTCACAACGGTGATCATTGTGATGTTTCGGGCCGTCCGGGAATATTATCAAGTCACTAGTGACTTGATACTTATCAGAGATGGTCCAAAATGTCTTCTAAAACTTCCTCTTGAAATTGTGAGTCGACTATTGTTGCAGCCACGATACTCTGACTTATATTTTGACAGACGTTTGGTGCAAACAATACTACCAGATCATGGCACTGATGTTGCAACTACACACAAACACACACACACACACACACATACACACATACTCACCCGCACACCCACCCACACACACACACAGACATACAGTTGAGGCAGGATCCATACATTGCTTTAGAAAGAGGTACGATAAGTTTCTTGGAAGAAGAAGAGAGTAGACCTATTAGCGACCAGCGAAGAAGCGGTGCCAGGAGCTGTGAATCGACCCCTGCATCCACAAAGAGGTGAGTAAACACACACACACAGCAGTTTTTTCACAGTCGCCTCTGGCAACAGTGAGTCAAGAGCGTTAGAAGGTAATGTGTTCGAGTCACGACACGTACCTTAATGTTGTATGGGTGCTGACACCCAGCCTGTGGTTGAGGCAGGTTAATGTTGTATGGGTGTTGACACCCAGCCTGTGGTTGAGGCAGGTTAATGTTGTATGGGTGTTGACACCCAGCCTGTGGTTAAGGCAGGTTAATGTTGTATGGGTGTTGACACCCAGCCTGTGGTTGAGGCAGGTTAATGTTGTATGGGTGTTGACACCCAGCCTGTGGTTGAGGCAGGTTAATGTTGTATGGGTGTTGACACCCAGCCTGTGGTTGAGGCAGGTTAATGTTGTATGGGTGTTGACACCCAGCCTGTGGTTGAGGCAGGTTAATGTTGTATTGATGTTGACACCCAGCCTGTGGTTAAGGCAGGTTAATGTTGTATGGGTGTTGACACCCAGCCTGTGGTTGAGGCAGGTTAATGTTGTATGGGTGTTGACACCCAGCCTGTGGTTGAGGCAGGTTAATGTTGTATGGGTGTTGACACCCAGCCTGCGGTTGAAGCAGGTTAATGTTGTATGGGTGTTGACACCCAGCCTGTGGTTAAGGCAGGCTAATGTTGTATGGGTGTTGACACCCAGCCTGTGGTTAAGGCAGGTTAATGTTGTATGGGTGAGTGAGGGTTTAACACAGGGAGGGGCACGCCAAGTACATGTTCCAGGTGTGTTAATACACACGCCAAGAAAGCAGCACAGAAAAAAAACAAATCCCACAAGAATGTGAAAAATGAACTCTCACGATTGGATCTGAGTTTGAAACTGCAAAACAGACGTAAAAAAATTATTATTGAAGAGAATTAAGTAGGCATACTATGCTTACCTTTGAATACTTGGGAGGAGTGGAGAAGGGAAGGTGGGAACAACACAACACCAGAATACATAAGAGAGGAGCAACACTGCAGCAGGCCTACTGGCACATACTAGGGGGGTCCTTCTCAACCTCAAACCCCTCTATGAAAAATACAATGAAGGAGGTTATTTAGTGATGATAAGGTTCCTGAATGAGATACAATGATCTGAAAGGCACGTATGTGCCTCTTAAGTAACACAGGGAAATACAAGGACGAACAACTCCTGATATGATTAAGGGACTAAGTACTAAGTGGAAAATACCTTCACATCACGGAAAGAAAGTAATTGACCTTAATTTGTCAATTAAAGGGGTAAACCGGTAAGCCAGCGGAAGGCCTCGGTCAGATGACCAAAGCTCCAACGGCGGGTCATCATCTAAGACCTGCGTCAGGAAACACTTCTCCTATTTCCTGACGAACCTTACCTACCTAACCACGGAAACATGTATGCCAGTCACGAGACACAGAAGCGAGACCAAAATATACCACGAAGCGAATAGTATAGAAGAGGACAGATTATTTTAGAGCAAGACGAACAACACAGAACAGAGACGTCAACACTGGAGCCAGTAATAAATACCACTGACCCCAGACTCGTCTGGTGCTTGTGTGGAGCTTCATACA